TAAAACATATTGAACTTATAATATTGGATAAAATTAACTTGAAATATTACAGAAAGCTAAACAACTTACATGTCTCTGAAGAAGGCTAATGAAATCTGCAGTGTTGTTTTCCTCCAATGCTGTCAGTAACTCTTGCTTCGCCATGGTTAATTCTTAATCAACCTGATTTAAAATAAAAGGTATATATAATATAAAGAAATTATTAAACTGCAATTAAATTCCCTGAAATACAAGAAAAATGCTGAATAATTCCAGATTATAACAGTTACATATTTTTAAACAGAATACATACGCACACAGATACCTACTCTATCTTTCATCCTATTCCTTTTCAATCTTATATTTATGTATAGCCTGTATGCAGGATAAATCCCACAAACCCTGTACATAAGCAATATATAGTGTGCTTCCATAAATTTGCAAGGTATATACAAAAAGAAAGAGAGAATATTAATCTTTAACATTCTACTGAGTATTTTCACTTTTATACAATTACTTATATTTATAAAATAATGACTTTAATGAGATATCACAACAGAAATTGAAAATCAAATTTTGACTCAATATTTGGCTTTTCTGAAGTCAGCCCCCCCACACACACACATGCACCCCCCCACACGCACACAAAAATCTAGTAAAGTCATTGGACACCAACACTTTACTAATTAGCCTCTTTATCTCCCTCTCTCTCTTTTATACATACAGAAAGTAAAATAATAATAAATGAATAAATAAGAATGACATGTTACTTTATTCAGGTATGAATCTTTGCAATTTGCAACTCATGTAAGTTTCTACAGAAAAAGTTGAGTGTCCCCAAATAATCATTTTGCACCTATGTTATTTCCTGTTATTAACTCATTGACACCCAGTAACATCTACTCATATCATGTCAAACTAGGTGGTAAGTATCAATGTCAGGCACAGTCAAACCTGCTGTAAGTTATGTGCACTAAAGTTGTTCAATTGTTTGAACCTAACTGTGGTCACTGGGGAAATAGATAAAAAAATGGAGAGAGAAAAAAAATAAGTGAGAAAAAAGAAAGACTGAAAGAAAGGGGGGGAAAATAAAAATAAAATAAATAAATAAATAAATAAAATAAAAATAAATAAATAAAATTAAATAATAATGCTCCAGTCAAGAGCATAGAGAGCAGGATAAATGTATGCACTCAAGTGGCTGATTATGTGTGATGCCCACAATATGGTGTGAGGAAATTCTGTCATGAATGGGATAACAAACAGACCAAGTAAAAAGCAGTGCAAGTTGCACCTCTGACACCGTATTACAAATGCAGTCACATAACATTTTCACACCCTTTCTTTTCAACCTTTTATCATATTCATTATTCAATTTCAACTCCACTGAAATTAAGTGCAACAGCTTAGACATGACCCAAATGAACAACAAGGGTAACAGCATACCAACATGGCCCAGAGGGGTAAGAACAAGGTGGTGTACACTGGCACCTGTCACATCCATAAATGGGAAAACTAGCCCTGTTCAATAAGAATATTATTTTGGGTCACATTTATTACTTGAATTGTTACACTGTACTGTGTTGTGCTTAAAATGTCTTCCATATATAAAATCCAAGCTAAAAAGATGAAGTTAAAAGTTAGCAGTTTTGAAAAAGAACAAACAAACAACCTGGTTTACAGCAGCTAATATAATACTGAATTATTGAATCCATACTGTATATCCAGAGCAAACACTGCACTTGGACTGACAAAGTAGCATAAATGGATTTGCCACATAAGCTCTTGGGTGCCTCCTGGTGCATGCAACAAAACAAATTGCCTTTGAAAATTTAAGCCTGTAGTATACTGCACTTGAGTTTTGGCATTTGGTATTCAACCTGTGCTGGCACAGCGGTAAGGTGCTAGTCTAGCAATCTTGCAGACCTGCGTCCAATCCTACACCTGGCCAGTGAGTGGTAACCCCGGCCACTCCTTGCACACAGGGGGAGATTTGGGCAAAATAAACCAGACAGTATGTCACAGCAGAGAATATCCATTGTAACAAATGGAATTAAAACTAAATCTATACAGCAAATTTACTTAGTGTACACTATACTTTCGGGCTACTTGAAGTTAAAGGAAATAGTCATAAAAAAATACAAGGTTTCTGCACGCAAGAAATAATCAGCAGAAAGGAAACGTATGGATACATTTGCTTATCATATTCAGAGACTTCAGAAACCTTTTTTAGTGGAAATCCCCATTTCTATACCACAAACGTAGTGGTGGCTGTATCAAAATTGTTTCTGATTGGCCGCGGCACGAGACAGTTCAAAAGGTGATAAACTGGTGGCTGGGTCTCCTGGTCCGCCCATTCCAGAGATACAAGAACCTCTCTGTAATAGGTGTCCGAAGTGCCTCCAAAAAAAGCTTACGGGCACTTCTTGGAATTCACAACTATCGCTATATGAACCAAAATCCTTCCAAAGCATATGCCCCAAGACCTCAACGCAATCACCATATAGCATTTGTCAGAGCA